AAAAACAAGAACAATATTGTTAAAAACTATTTATGTGTGAAAATTCCACAAATACACCAACAAGTATCACTTTTCTGCCAGAAGAGATACTGAAGTTGAAATCAATGCACTATATCGACTCCTTATAATGTACAGTCACAAAAATATAATAATACATCTAACATAAATCAKTGTAAATCAATACATTATATATTCAATTGCTTTGCTCAGAATAATATTACTTATAGTAAAGATGTAGGTCGTTGAGGTTGTTACCATTGAGTTTTAAAAAAATTTCCCAAATAATTTATGATAACTTTTATCTAAAACCTAACTTATCTACGTCCAATGAAAACTAATGAAAAATGTGTTGTTAATACACAAATTACGTATAAGTACTGTTTTGTAAGAGGTGACAATGGACTTTTAGAATATTTAAAATATCTCAAAAAACATAAAAAAATTTAAAAATTTAAAAATAAAACAATAAAACTAACCATCAGTAGCATTATCTAAATGAATATCAATAGTACGACATTTAGATGAAGTAGACGTTGAAACTGGAGGTGGTGGCATATCTGGTTCAGGATCTTCAATTTCTGGAGCAATTGGTAAAAACATGAGAGCTTCCTTATGGTCTTCGATGGCTCCTTCTTCGTCTGAACTACAAAATGCTGCTACAGGTTCGGCACTTTCCACATCAACCTAAAAATTATTTACAATTTAATATTATGATGTATTGTAATTTGWATTTAAAATTTTCTTTTTATCATTTATTTGAATAAATATCTAAATACAATCTGTAATAGTATTTACTTACTATCAGCATATGTGAGTAATATATTATACAAAGACCTAAATATATGAGGAGAGAAGTCACCCAGTACTCAGCAGTAACACTCAAATACAATCAACTAAATGATAGACTTTATTATATACAATGAATATAGGTACATATTAGTTTTTTTTTTTTAAACTAATTTATTTAATTGACTTTAAATTAACTTTTAATTAACTTTAGACTTTTAATTAACTTTATTTAATTGAGTCAAGTCACAATACTAGTACATTTTATTTTTTTCTCTGTTGATTATCAGGAATTTTAACTGGATTAATTGCAAAAATAAGTAAATACAGGATGTTTGCAAAACGACATTGGAAGCGCTTGTTGTCACCACTCCAGCTACAGTCTGTATACCAAGATCTGTGTGCAGTGTTTGATTCATTACATAGAATAGTRTGTTAGTAATTACATGGAGTAATATAGATTGGAACATAAGTATTTTATAAATATTGGATTTTATTGCCCATATTTGGACACTATAAGTCCAAAAAGGCTTTAGAGTTTTGTAAAGCAACAATTTAATTTTTAGGTTGAGTTTGGAATTTTACCTAGGAGTGGATATAGAAACTTTTGTCTTAAGTTTAAGAGGAGACGTTTTTGTTTTTTATGCTCTATCCAGATTTTAATTAAATTAAAAATAATATATAAATTGTTTGATATACAATGATCTTATTTATTGAAAGATATCTACCTCGAAATCTTCATCACATCGTTGTATGTCTTTTGTAATTGATTTGTCTTCATCTTCTAAGTCAAATTCAGACTCTCTCTCATCATACTCAACATTTTCATCAAGCTCTTTAAAGTCGGGTGCAAATGCTGACCAATTTTCTACTTGATTTTGTGCCCATACAGAAACAAATCCACTAGAWATACTAGTTATTATTGCTCGAACTGGATGCCACTAACAATACATTTTAGATAAAATTAAACTTTCATGATTCTCATTATAATAATTTTAGATCTTACAACAACATCCAAAAGAAGTTCTCCCTTGGTTCCATGCAATATTTTCACTAAATTTCCAATACTCTTTTCCCAAATGTATAATGCGTGTTGTCTAGCCGAACCTGCACAAACATATTCACCATCACCAGAAAAACAACATTTCTTCCACATTGTTCTAGAAATAAATATTTTAGTATAGTGAATAACTGTAATATTTTATTAGTTTTTAGTATATTGGGAGTATTATAGTCACTTATTTTTGAAGGAGTAAGAATTAGGCAAATTATATGGCAGGTACATACAAATCATGTCAATGTGTGTGAGTATAAAATATTAACATTAGTGTATATACGCTACAGACCACAGCGTATCCTCAAAGTGTTTTCTAACTAGCAGGAACATGTCATTACATTATATTAGGAAAAAGTATTTAGTTACTTTTTAAGTAAAAACATACCTAGGCTGAGACAAAATTATAGGAATTAGGCTATTGCGATTTTAATTCTGTAAAAATTCTTACATTTATTAACATTTTTTCTAGAGAACAGTTGATAAATTTTAGAAATAAGCATTTTTACAATACATTTAACAAAAATTTTGAAAAACTGAAATTTTGATAATATTATAATATATTCAAAAGCTCAAACTTTAGAAAAGTGTTCCGAAAGTTTCTAGATATAAAGAAATTTTATTACTTTACAGCATAAAAATCTAACCATTCAAAGTACACAATATTGCAATAGTAAAGGGTCTAAAAAAAATTTATTTTTTAACTGACTAAAACTTAAAAAGCTAATAAATATTGCCTAAGCAATTTTTCAGTATTTTAAATCACATTGTAAATTCATAAATATAAATCAATACTGTTAAAAACATTAAACATACTTGTTAACTAAATCTTGGAGTTTTTGAATGGGTTCTGGTTCTCCCTCCTTTCCTTTATCCAAAACATGTTTAGCATCATATACTCTGATGACACGATCTGAACAATTGAGTAAAAAGCAATCTCCTCTTCGTGCAAATTCAATACTTTTTATACCAGTCATTCCAGTAGATACTTTAAACGAGACTTTAAGTTCAAGATCAGGACAAGTCAAAACCAATATTTTACCACGAGCATTTCCTGTATATATATACTCTCCGCGGCGATCAAACGAAGCAACTATCATCAGATCAGACTGTAATTTAGAAAAATGTTATTTGTTTACAATTTAATGTATTATGAATAACGTTTAAATTGCAGCTTAAACTCACATCTTCGCCCATTGGAACTAATTTATGGTTTCCATCAGTGTCTACGAGCACAGCTGCGTGTTTCATTGGACAAACAAGGAATAAATTTTTCTTTCTAGGGTGGTATTGGACTTTTAACACAGGTGATGGAAATTTATACATTTCTTCTCTCTCACCGCTTAATATGTCCCAAGTGCAGACATTATTATCAGTTGATGCACTTAATAACTTATGTCCATTCCTTGACCAACTAAAAATTATAAATTTATATATAGGTTTGAAAATCATTTTGGTTTAAAATAATAATAATTTCACTTTYGAGATTTAAAGAAAATAAACAATTACCTTAAGGAACAGACAGGATGCATGTGAGCTGTGATAATTTTTGCAATTCCTCTAGTTAAGAAATCCCAAATTACTATACGGCCATCATTGCATCCAACTGCCAATAGTGTGCCATATTTATTAAACACACATGTCACGGCTAATGATATGCTATCAAGAACTCCATCAAATTCCTATTAAAATGAAAAGTGAACACAACAAGACAGAATCTACATTAATCTACATTAAACACTTCAAAAGCATAAAATAATCTCAATCAACAAATTTAAAACTATTCAAATATCATGGATAATACATAATTTTTTTTTTTTATTACTATTTAGAACTTTCAGTATACTATTATAGTTCGACAATTACAATATAATATATAATTATTAATCAATAATTTATACTTATAAAAATAGAAAATATACAAGATATTTTTTAAATATGAGAGATGTTGAATATGGATGTCTTTAATCAACATTATTTAAAATATGAAATTTTAATATAATTACCTCAGGATAATTTTGTCCAAAAGATTCTATAAAATAAAATAAATATTATCTATTATATTTTATAATAAAATATATTAAATTCATAAATTATAGCTACCAGCTTTTACTTACCAAGCAATTCTAAATTCATATTGAAAGTTGATGACAAATCTAATTGTAGATTTGATTAGTCTTGAAACTGTAACTATTGTTTGAACGGTTACTATTATCTTACCTAACTAAAAAAAAAAAAATGTGTGTAATATGTTTTATTACACATATTAATATAATAAACAAATTAATCCCTACATTACCGATAGAAAAAGACATATAAGATCTGTACATTTTGGATAAACCAAATAAGRGATAGATGTATTTAACTAACAGGTTTTTTATTGAATACAAAGGGTTTATAATTGACCATTTAGAATAAATAGTAGAATTTCTTCTATGCCATCTAATTCTGAATAATACTTATAACTATTTTTGATATAATTGACTCGTCATCCAYATTTAATATAATCTAAAAAAGCGCTTGACTAACCTAGCATTTTAAAACTTTTCGACAGTTCAGAAACACTAAACAAACATATTTGATCATTTTAGTCTTTTAAATACCTAAATGTAAGTATATTATTCTTCTATGTGGTATAATATTATTAAACTTACTAATTATTACTGACCACGACGAGGTCCAACTACTACTATGATTCTAATGAAATCGGTGGCATATAAATACAAATTAAATACACTAAACTGTGAATTAATATAAAGTACTGAAGAAATGAAATAATGTAATTAAAAAATGCGTTATAGTGTTCAACCAAATTAATTTTACACATACAAGTCTTGTAACAAGACAAAACGTTGGGTCGCTAATACTCTGGAGTCAGGACAACATATAAATTTAAAAATTTTAATTTTAAATAAAATTAATTCATAACAGTGTATGTTGTGTACTTGTGTTGATAAAATCAAAACCAAACGTTTGTAATCAATCAAATCACAGTGAGTCGTTAATAGCGGCAAAATTATTGATAACCTCATCTAGGGATACCCAGTGTTGCCAACAATTGTTAGCAAAAAAGGTCAAAGACGTAAAAAAAAACGGCTTCAACACGACTACGTTATTTTCATTGATGTAACAATGTGCCCTTTAGTCTTTACACAGATACTTTTATTAAATCTAAAAGTGAAATGCCTCAAAATATATCTCAATGGTTTGCGAAGACTGCTTAAAGGCAATTCAATGTATGGAATAAGACGGAGGACGACTTAAAAATATTGGGCATTGTTTCATTTCGATAACTTCTAGTGATAAATATGCTTTAAAATTTTTTTTTAAATGTATAAAAAATATTAATGATAAACACAGAATATGTGGTAAGTACTTAACTGAAGTACATACGACATACTACATACTACATAATAGTATATATATATATTGTAGTTATCTACATATTATATAGTTCAATCAAAGTGTTTAATCCATATTAGAAAAAGCAATTAATTATTAATATAAGAAAATAAATTAAATATTTCACAAATATACATTTCGGCAATTTTTTTCCCCAGTTTTGAACCGACGACGCCGCGAGAACTGCTTTCGCATTGCTTCCGCGGCGCCGCCAACATTTAGGGAATTAGATGTGATTATCTAGGTTCGGTAAAATCACAGAACAATATTTGTTTTTATTTATTATTTTATTTATTATTTTACAATATTTATTTTTTAATTTGGTAAAATAATATGTAAACTTCAAAAATAGAAAATCACTTTAAACAATTCAATTTTTATGCTGTTTTAGAGTACCTAAACGAACTGTAGTTCACTTATATAATTGTTCTATATACTTAATATTATAGCTAATATACTTCTACAATCTAAATGTGTTGACAACATTGTTTTGTATCAATAATTCATAATATTTTGACAAAATTTAGTACAACTCTAATCGGAGGTAGTCATGCACTGCATGTCTYAGACATGATGTCTGCATATAGACGAATGTTGCAGATTAGTTATAAATTACTGTTTGATCTTTGATAAATGATTGTATGATTCTGTGGTATAACCATAGACCTAAGTTATTAGGTCTATGGGTATAACTACCGTAAACGCATTTGAGATTAAATTATAGATACATGTAGGTCATAGAATATGTCTATACTATAACTAGATAAGGTATATTTTTATATTATTTACATTGTTATCAGTGAAGCTCGCATGCGGACGACTGTCATTTTGTTGGTTGACAAAAATATTGGTTGGCATCTTATAATATCATACACTAGTATATGATCTAAGGTTGACATACACAAAATTCATAAGGAATAAATGGAATTATGTATTGTTTCAAGGTGAGATGAAATAGCAATGACAAAATGATCTATATAAAATATTTTTTTTTTTGTTACTAATAGCAATTCTAGAAATAATAAAATACAATACAACATAAATTAATATTTAGTATTTACCATAAATACGTACATGATTTTAAATCATTGATTTACAGTGTCCGCAAAAATTTATACTCATTGCGATATCTCCTGAGATAATAAATATATGATTATATCATAAATCTGTTTTTATCAGATTCGCATAGACAAGAGGGCTACATCTATTTTATTTTTTAATTTAATCAAATGTTTTGGTAAAAAAGTTAGAAAAAATATTTTTTAATTTTTGAAAAAAGTAAAGATACTTATTTGCGAGGTCGAGTCCCCTTTACGGCTTATGGGTATATCCTCTCACGGGACACCCTGTATATAGCGTGCTATTTATTAACCAAGAAGATGGTGGAACCCGGCTTCAACTAATGCCCGGAATTACTTATCTAATTAGTACAGAAGTCTGTGATGTTGGTACTTAGAGTGTTCTTATCTTTTCCAAGTAAACAATATTCTAGTACGTATACTTGTATTATAGTCTATAGATTTTTGTTAATCAAAAGTACCAAAAAGTGCACCTTATTAATACATTTTTGACGATTAAATAAAAATAAATTATTGATTGGATTAAAACTTGTTTTAGACAACATACTACGTACACCGTTATCAAAGTAATAGAAGGTCATTTTATATTTTCGACAATTCTGGCCGTAATATACTAATATTTCTATAATATATTAAAGTTACGTCATTGGCCAAAACACAAAAATTATGTGTACTAACTATCAGTGTATTAGTGTGTATAATTATATACTTTAAAAAGCTGAGCTTTTCTTATACAGTATAGAGCGGTACTGCGGTGATGTATTCATTAGAAAAATAACCACATGGTGCACCACTATAATTTCTGTGGAGCCTTGATTTTTTTTTGTTTATATATAAATAATAAATATTGTATCTATATAATAAATAATAATAGAAATCACTGATCTATAAGCAGTATAAGCAGTATAAGCTATGTAAAAGGATCAAAGAACCTGTAGTCACTGAGCGAGCGATTGAAGTTTCACAGATTACATGGAATCACTCGGCAGTTTTGCAAATTTCACTTTTATAATTAAAATTTTTAAAACAACGCTATCGATTTGATACCTTCACAGTTTTATCAGGCATATTGTGAGCTATCAGCCCTGACAATTTTATTTTATGTTTAACACACGAGAAACCTATGCAATATAAGACAGCTGGAGTTTGATCAAGTACTAGAAATCATCCGAAATTTATTACAAATTTTACGCTTGAAAATTGATTTAAAATTTAAAAATTATGCGATCATTTTTAAACTTGCGCCATTAGATTACACATGTTTTTGGCTACCATCCGTGTTAGTTTAATGTGTAAGGATAAAAGACACTGTCATCAAACTCAAATATATAATAATATGACAAAATATTACATTATTATAGTGATGCATCCTACATAATGTGAGCAAAAACAAAAAAAAGCCAATTGGAGGGGATCTGACACCTACGTCACCTCTTTTTATAGCCACTGTGTATAACTACTTAACTGGTACTAATTTATTATATTGGTAGGTATATCTTTAAATTAAAATGCATAATATATCTACAATTGCTACAAATAATTAATAAATCGAACAAATAATAAAGAGTAATATAATAAAGTGGACCCGTAATTGGATATCTTGAAAATTATGTTAATTTTTATTTGCGTCGATATTACAGAACTAAATTCCAAAAACTTATAGTTTATTGGTCAAATATATGGTGTAAACATAATATATTAATATTATAGTCTTATTTCCGTGATTTCACAGATATCACAATATATCTGTTAAGAGTACGTAACAGTGCAATTTTTGTGAGTAATATATAAATGTTATGAGCATATAATATACAGTACATTAAAAATGCTCATAACTCACTTAAAAATTGAATTATCGTAAAAAACCAAAGTTCAAACACAGATAATGTTCTTACCGTCAAGTTTCATAATAGGTCGATTCACTGTAATGTTTAAACTRAAGGAGCTACAAGTGTTCTTCTGAGCGTAAATTTGCTATATTACGCACTGGTAAGACGGAGACAACAAATACCACTGTTACGTATACTCTTAATGTCTTCACTTTTCAATATCATATAATTTTTTGGTTTATAATACTAGTTAAAATATTATTATTATAACACGGGTGGATGTACTAATATTTATTCATTCTTAAAGTTTGGTAATTTTTTTGGTCTATAATCTACAATTKAAGCAATGAAATAAAAAATGCCTACATTTATAATTATTTCGATAAGTTCTAATTTCTTYGAAAAACATTTTTTTTATCATTTTAAGACTAATTTGATATAATTTTTTTCTATTTTATTTTATTTTTATTTTTTTATGATACCAAACATTTTTAAAYCCATTTTCTGAAGCAGAATATTATTCAGAGCATTTTAATCTCTATAAATCAAATTTCTGATAAGACGTAGTTGTTATAATTAATATTACTCTATATTCTATAATTATAAGTATTTAAAGATTTAATGGGTTGAGTAGTTGCCTGTTATATTWAGAAGATAGAACACGATTGAGTAAAAATTCTATTTTAATCTTATAAATCATAATAATGATGATGTTGTGCAATAATCAATAAATAGCAATCAAACGTATAAAGCATGCACCGTGGTTGTTTCAAGCAATAGCTGTGGCCGGTGATGTTTATTTTTTGTCATTTTTCGTCGTCCTCCTGCACCATATTATTTGTATACAGTTGTTTACATATTTATGTAAAGATATATATTGTGTATATATGTTTACATATTTATGTAAAGATATATATTGTGTATATATATATATATATATGTATATATAAATTAACGTGAGAGGAAACTCTTTGTTTCTTTGTCCCCACATCATAACCCTGCAGGCAACAGCTGATTATTATTACTTTTCACTGTCCAGTGCCGCACCTGGACAGTTATTTGTGCAAAATAATAAATCCACCGAAAACTATATTATGCACCGATTCTAAATAATGCAAACTGAAAGTAAAATCGATTACAACTTTACTATAGAATTAATTATACAAATTATAATGTAGGTAGTTAGGCATCTGGCATAATATAAAGAATAAGATTATTAAAATAGGATTTCTTTTATTCATATACTATGGAAATTTGGTACATCATAATTATACAGTTTTAGAACTTAGGAAAGAATGTCGTTCATGAACGCACGTTCATACGTTCAAGTTCATGTGAATTGAACTGAATTGAATAGAATTGAACTTGAACGACGTTTATATTTTAATGAATTTAAACGATTTTTAAAACGCTCATTGCTCAATTTACTTACTATTTATTAAATATATATTTAAATATTTTAAATATAATATTGATTAATTATACTATATAATAATATTTTCGCATTATAATTCCTGCTGTAAAAAAATTTAAAAAATAAAATAATCGATCCAATGAACGCATTCATTTTTCAAAGAACGTGAACGAATTAATTTTTTATTGAACGTTCTCAATATAGGTTATATACTTATATAGACGATAGTAATGCTGCGATTAATGACGAAGAGAGACAAATCATCGTAAATAAATTATCTAAGTACAATTTATTACCTATAATACCTATATAATAGAATAATTGCTGCATTACTTTGTACTGTACTTTTGTATGTATCTTCATTCTTTAATATGACATGCATGATGGCAGCGTGTATAGTAATTATGTGGCTTAAGTAAAAATTATAAGCAAGTAAGATGAGCGCCAACTAGATGTGTTTATCGAAATTTACTTGCAGTTTCCAAACATGTAGTAGATTTGTGGCCAAACAATTTGCGTGTTTATTACGACAATCTGAATTTTTKGCAGAGTGGTAGAATACCTATACTACCCAGGTACATTGATGAAGTTCAAGGTTCATCTATACAGAATATAATAATGACGGTGAAAAAAAAATAATAGAATTCTAATTTCAATTTCCTGTTTACGTATGCACATATATTATTGTAAAAAGTAAATGGCTTATCCGATGGGGGGAAGAGGCGATGAAGGATTGTTTTACGTAATTATTTACATAAATATTATTATAATTTTTACAAATCATCTTTACGGGCTTACGGCGTCATGGACAAATGTACGAAAAAATATCAAACCGATAATRACCATCTTATCTAACTCGTTTGATAGCATTGTTAATCTGTTATTAAAATTATTGAATTAATCCTTTATATTAATATAAATAAGTGTAATTACGTAAATAGCTTATTAAATTTGTTAAATGTCAGTAAATGTAATTAATTCAAAATTAAACCTGAAAGTTTTTGAGGATAATCTCAGATGGTACACTTTTTTGGTTTAGTAGAATGTAGAAAAATCGATAACAATTGAACTATTATAGAGGACGTCGCGACCGACCCYGACGTGTTGTTAATCCGTAGATAGTAAAAAAGTTATTTTTTTCAGTATTACAAAGTTACAATGTATACTGATTTAAATATTTAAAAGTGTTTATTGTTTATACTATAAATAAACTAGAATTTATAGTCAATATTGTTTTTAAAATTAAAAACATGAACTTTTGTCTCCTCTAAAAGCTATATAGGTATTCCAGTGGGCGATGACAAACTATTATTGTAATTAATATATAATATAATGAAATTACAATAAATCTAAACATATATATTTATTTAGCTTAGTATTATAATGTCGTATGTTTTAGAGCAAAACCAGTTTTGTGATGTATCAGGTTTTAATATTTTCAAGCTTAAAGAAAAACATGGTTTATGTTTGAGAGACATTTTTTTAAAATTTCTATGTGAGTTGTGAGCATTTTAATTGTAATATTAATATACTAATACAGACTACAGTAATAGTAGTAATACTAATTAGTAACTACTATACTTACCATCAGCGATTKACTATTGAGTAAGTCAAACTATAATTTTGGCAACCAATAAAATATTATATAATATATACGATTTTTATCGCAACGTTATCAAAAATTATTGCATGAACAATCCACTAAATATGTTACGAACAATAATGGATTTTTCTCTTTTRAACTATTGTAAAAAAATTGAGAATGTAARCAAACAAAATTTAAGATTATTAGAACAGTCTAAGCCAGACAATACAAATTTGTTCCACTATATAATGACGGTTTTCTTTAAATACTAAAAAAATAAATATTATATTATTTAGGTTGTACAAAATATTATGCATAAAACAATACCATTTATTTATGTACAATAGCTAGTATCATATTTTATGTATATCTATTTATATAAGTTAAAATACGAACAGCAATAACGTCAATAACTATCGAAATATGCCCAAATCACGAGTTCGTATAAATAGATAAATATTATTTTATTGTGTAATTTCGATTTATTTTGATTATTGAGTTTAGAGTTAGTAACAGCAGTCGTGTGCCGCGCCCGTGAGGCACCTTGTATAAAATATGCATATTAAATTATTATATTACCTACATTATTTTACGAAATCTRCAAAGATTGATCTTCGTATTTCATTGCCATCCGTCATTAAAACGCGTATTAAAAAATGTTTAAATGTTGTACACATCGAAATCGAATCCCCGACGATGTAGCGTATTTAGACGTTATAATATATCCCGATTCCCGAGTAGGCGGATGAGATGGGTGTGCAGCGAGTGACGTAGAGGGTGAAGCGGACCGCGGCTACAGCAACCTAGGTTAACGCGATACGCAGTGCGCGCGCGTTAGGTTAGGTTAGGACAATTGCTCGTCGAATGCATAATATTAATTATTGCATTTATTGTTCGTTTTATTGTAAAACAAAAAACCCGATGTCATCCGAATTGCGAGTATAATATAGTTGTTAAACTGTACAATACTGATATCGTTCGTACGTGACTTCCTGAGGAGTTCGTGGTTGTGATTATTATTTATATAATAATTATTATTATTTATGACAATGTCGTACACGCGCGCCAAACAACAGTGCACATATTTGTTTAACACGGAAATGTGTTAACATCAACAATAATACAATATATGCGTTCACCGATCGGAAACTCGCGAATCTGCCATTTTTTGACACGTGCTCGAATGGAATTTCGGATTGAACAATAACGTCAATAACTGCATGGAGAAGCGGAAAATATTTCATAATAATAATATTGTGATCCGTCATTGACATTTTGTATGTAATTTTAATATTATATTATTGTAATTTGTAATTTATAGTCGTGCGCGTAGTTCGACAAAACTTTACTGCAGAAGGCGACTCGCAAAGGAGCGCGTGGGAGGTGAGGTGGCAACGTCATCTTGGAGGAGACGGTTTATGAGGTGTTCGTGGGCGGCAGTAGGCGGGCTCGTGACGTTTTTATTTCCACGGCGAAATATTTTCGGTTTTGATAACAGTCGCGGCGCATACCCATAGAACTGACCGGTTATTCTTAGTTTCGCACGCGCACAGTCACAATATCATGGGTTGCATAACTCGATAATAATACGATAATATCAGCTGCTGCTGCAGATCTCGTCATGGTGCGAGCACAGATAAAAACATTAAAAACGATATCCTTTTAACGCAGATAAAAAAGGTAAACTACCCATTAAAAAAAAAAGAAAAATCGTTTGAGATTATATTATTATTTCGTCGTCGTCGTAGACACAGTAATAAAGTATATTTTTATTATCTCGTTCGTCATTTATATTGCGCGGTCTTCGTTACCTTGAAATAACGTTCGCGTCGGCAACCACCGCCGCCGCACTCTCACTCCGACCCGCCCTCTACGTCCGTTTACGTTTTCGTCGCAGGCACAACGCACAAGGCGGCAGGCAGGCAGAGGCGAGGCACTGAGGCAGTGCGACGCGCGACAATTGCGAGACACAACACGCGACGTCCGCTCGCCGTACTCGTTTCCGCAGACACGATCTCGTCCGCTCGATGCCAGACTCGTCGTAGATCCGGACGTGAGTAAAAAAGTGTTTTCGTCGGCCCCGACTGACGACGGGTTTTCTCTCGTACCGCTAGTCCACGCTCCGCCTTTAAAAGCGACCGATATCGAGCGATTCGTATACGACAACGGACAAACGCTGTACTGCCTTAGTAGACATTAACTGTGGGCCCTACCTACTTATCCCCGAGCTCTTCCTGATTTTTTTCCGTATTCGTCGATTGTACCTAGTGTTTTGGTCTCGATTTCGAATTTCCATCATCGTTTTCATCTCGAAATTCAACAGGTCTTCACCTACAAGATAATATTATGTTATAATAATATACCAGTTCAAGTGATCACGAAACCAGGCCTCACGGGTTCGCTTGGCCGAATTATGTTAACGATTATTATTCACCGAACGTCCCGCACCTAAAATTATAATACTTGCTGTCGCTACGTTTAAGCCTACCTCTCGGTAAACATRATATTCGTATCTAAACAGTCAACAATAAAAATTACACGTACATTTTGTGTTAATGTATTCAAATCGTCATTTCGAGTATTTTTATGCCACTATAAACACTATTGTGCGTTGATAATAACCGTTGCCCACAAGTACCAGAAAGGCAGAAAAAAATAAAATTCCATTTCAGATCTGTTGATAAACGTTCTTCAATACATGTGAACTAACCTCACCTATTGACCTATCCACATYTATATACCTTTTATCATTTCGGTTGGTCGATTTTTTCCCTCCCGCCTAATCAACATGCTAATTGGCATTTTTCACAATTTTGTTAGATGTAATAATTTCAATTCTCATAAAATTTAGTAGTTTCCATTTCATGTTTTCAGACCATTTGTATTTCTAAATTCGTTGATCATATGCTTAAGTCTATAGATATGTTTATATTTTAAACTATTTAATGGATTTTTCACTACAGCATCCATAGTTACAGGTTTTTCTTCAAGTAAATTATAATTGTTATTTCGTGAATAAAAATGTTCAATGATTAATGTTCTTATAGTTTTAGATTTTTTAATATTATAAATGATAATTCACTTAACATTTAATGTCTGTTTGCAGAATAGATACCAACGTGGAGGAAAGCAATGCACTATTGGTCAAGGTGGAGCGAAACAGCTCTAGCCATTACGACCAACCTGACTCTGGGTTATATGGCCACAACAGTAGTAGTTTTGAGGATATTGAGAACGGCAACATTACAGCAGTCCCTTTCATGGATGAGACAACTTCATTATCCCAAAATGCCATACTAATACCATTAACCGGARCAACTCCACCTCAAAATCATGACGAACCATTCAGTACAAATGCCTGTTAGTACCTTTATAATATTTTTACCTGTTGACATTTATGACTAAATARATTCACTATTTGTTTCATTTCATTTTTTGTAATTGATACATATTATATTACATTTAAATAAATGTTACATCCTTAACTAATTATATACCTACTTTTTGATGGAAAGCATTAACATAAAAATTTATTGATTTTTGTTTTTAGATAAAACACTCAAAAGAGGCATTTCACATGCTACAGATAATGTGAACATTGTTTCACAAGCAAGATCAGAATTGATATTTATAGACAACACTGAAGATGAACTACAAATTGTTGAAACTCCGGTTTATACATTTATTCTCCCTGATTTGTCACAACTTGAAGGTAAATTTTAACCAAATTTATTTATTTGCTAACATAATATTGTACAATGAAACTTATTTACCAATAGCGTGTCAATGTTTCAAATAATATTATTCAATTAGTATAATATGTTGTTCTATTATTGTTTAGAAAAATTTAGAATGTTCATTGAAAAAGATTTGATAGCAGTAGCAATGCAAAGTTCTCTCGAGCAAGCTTCAAGACTGAATTGGTGGACTGGATTTTGTCAAAGGCTTTGGCCACTTTCGACATCTGGGGATGGCAACTGTCTTTTGCACGCTGCTTCGTTGGGTGAGCTGAAATGATACACACATTATTTAGTATTTTAAACATTTATTGTAAATTATAATAATACTTTTTTATTATATTTTCTGGAAGTGTAGTATAATTTTATAAATGTTAAATTATATAATCTTAAGTAACTAAATAGCTTACTAAAATTGTTCCCAAAGCAATATATTCAAATTTTRATGTGTGACATTTATTTATATTTACATATTTAATTCATTTATAGGTAATTTATCTAAATTTAAACTTACAGATTATAATACTTATACAGACACTGATATTTATTTCTATAGGTATTTGGGGATTCCATGATCGATTATTAAATTTGAGGCGTGCTTTGCACTCATTCCTCAGTAATGGTCCAGCTCGACATTCATTGTGGCGGCGTTGGCAACGACAACAAACTATTATGAATTCATTATTTGGGCTTGTATATACTGAACAAGAATGGCGCAGAGAATGGAACGCAATTGTTAACATGGCTTCCACCGTTCCTCGTATGCGGAAACAAAGTGCATCAAGGTCTGTTTGTTTATTATTTTTATTTTTTTGTTTTTACCATAAATTGATGTATATTTTTACAAAAATAGTGGAAATGCAGACACTGAAGGATACATTTATGAGAGCCTAGAAGAAATTCATGTTTATGCTTTGGCACATGTATTAAAAAGACCTATTATTGTCATAGCAGATACTATTCTTAAGGTGTTTATTTTGTTTTTCAGTTTTAATATGTTAATTAGTAGGATGATTTAAATAATTTGTTGAATTATGWAATCAATTTTATCTACAGGATATGAATGGTGAAGCCTTGGCTCCTATACAGTTTGGAGGTATTTACTTGCCCCTAGAGTGTTACCCGTGTGATTGTCATCGTTCTCCTTTGTTATTAGCATATGATGGAGGACATTTTTCAGCTTTGGTTGCTATGGAAACACCAAATTCAACTCTTTCATGTTTGCATATATTTTATTATCATTAAGCTAAGGTATATTATAGTTGATTATATTTAAAAACTTTTAATTCAGGTGCTATACCTTTAGTGGATTCAAATGGTGAACTCTTACCAATACAGTTTCCTGTTGACCCCGGTGAAAATGATCATCCTCCTGATAAAAATCAAGAACTGTCGTTTACAGATTCATTGTCGTTATTGAACAGTTACTTAGACATTGTAAAACTTGACCCTCAAGTATTTATAATGATTAGTATTATTTATTGTACTTGAATAATGTAAAATGTGTGGTTTGTTTTAGGGTAACAACGACACTACTGGGAAAAATGGTCTTTTTGGTAGTCTGGGACGTTCCGTAGGGAATAAATTAAAATCAAAACTGTCTAGGACGAATTCAGTAAAAAATCTATCGGCAATATCACCTCAAGCAAAGTATACGTATTGTGCCCTGATTAACTCAGACAAAAAACACGAATATCACGATGTGATGATTAAAAACTACTTAAGGACAGCAGCCGAGCGTTTTCAGCATTCACCATATGTGAGTCAAAACTATCTTATTAAAGACTTAATTTTAGGACACTATTCAAAACAGTATTAAAGGGAGGGGGAAACTTAGTTTGTGGCACAATCACTAAGAAGAGATGTATGA